TTAAACACTTCTCCTATATTTCAAGTGTCTAAATTTTAAGATAATTTTAAGCAATACTCTTATACAACCAACTAGTACAAGTAAATTGTTACTTTTGTGATTTGTTATTTGTCTTTGTATCATAATATATCAATTTTTTGTCCTTGTCTAACTATAGAAAAAAATTATGAATTATTAATTGTCTTTGTGTCAATATATATTAGATTTTATCAGGTTTGTGGTTTTATCTATCGGGTTTTCTATTCTCGAAATAAAAATTATAGATTATGCCTACATAAATTGCAACAAGCTAAAGTTGTAATTTTAGTATAAAATATATACAATAACCATTGCAGGAAAGAAAGCTAAAATTCAGCTCTGAATTTTAGCAAGTCCCAATGATGCTAGGCTAAAGTGTGATGACTTTATGAACCAAAGAATAAATGTGGCTAGAAAAATTGATGCAATTAGTAAGGAGGAAGAGAAAAGATATGAGATTCGCTTGACATCTTCTTTAGATGTAGCAAGATTTCTCATAATGCAAGGTGATGCTTTCCATGGACACGATGAGTCCTCTACTTCCAACAACAAGGGTACATTCAGAGAGATGGTTGATTGGTACAAAGATAAAGTTGAGATTGTTAAGGATGCATATGATAAAGGTGCAAAAAATGCACAATGATATCTCAACATTAATTCTTCTGGTGGCAACAGCTTCAGTTAAGAGGATATTTTTGCTTTGTCTATTGTAAAGACAGATTTGCGTAACAAAATGGGTGATGAGTGGCTCAATGACTTAATGATATGCTACACTGAGAAGGAGATATTTAGAAGCATCAAGAATGACAAAATCATAAAACGATTTGAAGACATGAAAACCCGGCGTATGTTAGTGTCTCAGAACAATTTAGTGGTATGATATACGTTCTCTTCTACCTTCAAAACTTTGAAGTTAAATACTTGAAATTTGTGTCACTAATTTTTTTTTTCTTGTATATAGATTGCTTCTAATGATTCATGAAGAATATGGCAGGGTGAATGTGTCGTCGATCCGATCTTTGTATGCGTTTCATGATGCACTTTCAATTGTTTATCTATGTTGTCATGTAAAAGGGATATAATTGAGTTAAGTTGTCATGTAAAAGGGATACCTGACCACTGCTATATGTTAGCTTTGTACATGGAATATAATTGAGTTAAGTTGGTGTGCCTCTTTTGGCCCAGCCTCCCTAAATATTTTTGTGGATCCGTCACTGGTTGGTGCCATGCACGCACGGCGTGCCATATGGTATGGTTGCGTGTGGAAGATGCGCAAGAAATTGTTTGGCATGCATGGCGTGTGGATGCATGGATGACCGAGTTGCAACTTGCAACAAAGTCAAGGTCTCTCTAGCTACGCTCTGGTGGTGTTGTCCGATACGGACTACAGGAGACCTAGGTCATGGCCGGTCGGTTAGGCGTACGTGCGTGGCGTGGCGTGGCATGGCCCGGCAGGGACGCGCGCCGGTGCAAACCAAACGTGCGTGTCATATGGATGGGATCGGCGTCGTCCAGATTTTGGAGACGTTCAGATCGACGTAGGCCACCCAACAAACGGTCCATGCGCCGGCCGCGTGTGTCACCGGCGACGCCGGCCGTGAGGGGTGTTGTTGTGACCGAGCTGCTCATCCGCCATGCATCCAGCAGTTTGCCACACACACACCACTACACACCAGCTCCATCTGTACTCATCCATCCATCTTCTCAGACAGTCCTATCTAGATGTGAACAGCTACAGCAGGACCACCTCCAACACTGAAAATTAAGGGCCAAAAGACAAGGCCCCATGCTTTCGCACCGGCCGAGGCTCACCGTATATATGGGCCAAGGCGTCACATGGCTGGATTGCGGCCCAAGTTATGCAAAGAAGGACACCGAAAATCCTCTCATCTCTCAATCAAATAATGAATCAGAGGGGAAAACAACAGAACACAGAGAACGCTCTTAAATTACTCTATCAACCAACCAACTAATGAACGACGGAAAACATATATTCATTCATAGGTATGTTTATGTCTACGGTGATTTTGTGAATTTTTAGGTCTGTCGATTTAATCTCTTATAGGTGCTCATAAAATATAGGGTGTCTGCGTGTTTGTTCATAGGACGTGCATGTATATGTGCATTTAGGTATTTATATTCGAGGAGAAAACAACAACCAAAGATCTAGAGTATATTTTGATCTCGCGTCTGGTGGTGCACGCCGGCGATAGTGAGAAGGTGGTGGTAGGGAGGAGGGTAGCGATGGGGGACGCCTAAGCCACCTGCTCACGGGAGCGTTTGTATTAAGGACCTATTTGGCCGAGCTCCTTCCAACTCTAACTTCGTGCTACATTGGCCGAGGAGCCAAAGGAGAAAAAAAAACAATGGCTCCTCCTGGCTCCTGGTTCATTTACAGAAGAGAGAAAAATGATTCCGATGAACGGTGTCAGAGTTGAAGGCCGAGCCCTATAATTAAGCCCTTCCAAACGGCCCCCAAAGCTTATTTGGATCGAGGAGAGGTTTACATGGGCTTTGCTGTGATACCTCCAAATGACTATAAGCCGCTCATTTAATAAGATCGTCATTTAATAAGATCGGATGGTTAGGATGATATATTACTTTCTAGGAGGTAATATGTGAAATATAAATTATTTTATTTATTAATTTGGTAAAATATGATAAATAAGGAAAGTTTAGATATAAAAATATTTTTTCTAGATCTATTTGATATGGTAAATCCTTTTATTTTGCAACTTTGATCATTGCATAATTTGATTAGTATATACTACCATAACAGCTAATGTACGTAACATAATTTGATTATTTGATTAGCATGTAACTTTTTGTTCCCCTATACGTGATAGCTACATGTTTTAGCGTGTTTCACTCCCAATGTTCATTAGTTGACATGCAACATGGTTTAATTTAGAAGATCCCCTTAATTATATAATATAATTTTAATCAAGTTAGCATAACGCATACCCTTTGACTACATAACATGTTAATGTCTGACATATTTTAGAACGCCAAAATTATTTAAGACTCGATTAACGCGTTTAGCTACCAATTTGTTTTTTGTAGGATACATGTTTTTTAAGTAATTACGTAACATGCTGGTGTGCGCACGGAAAAAAAAACTCCTCGCTGCCTTGTGGGTACACTGTGCACTGATGGGAAGGGGCCGCTTTTTTCTAATCACGGAGGCAAGTGTACCCTCAACTTCCGTGTTTGCACCCGTGATCACTGGATTTTAGAGGCCCCTGTTAGCTTTCTTAGAAAAAAAAAGCCGAAATACTATTAGGGACTAATTTATTGTGAGAGAAAAACATTGTTCCGGCTAGAAAAAACAAGCTGAAAAAGACGGATTATAAAATAAATGAACATGGCCTCTCTCTCATTTATTAGGTTATTTATTTGTTTGTTTAATTTATAAAATCTAATAAGTCAATGGCTCAGATTGCTTTGAACTATATATTACCTCGTAGTAGCCTTTTTATAATTTTCAATCACCAAATTATGAGAATCCAACTATCCACGTCCTTTCTATTCTTTGAAGATAATACATGTGAAACAACTCCAAACACCTATAATCTAGGGCTATAAATCAAATAATTATGAGAGGGTTACTATGAGCGTTCATGCATACACCAACATGCATCCATTTCCATCAAGATCCCATGCATACACCATAAGCTTCGGCTAACCAAGTTGCCTCACCGAAAATAGGAGAATATACACATGGGGCCTCCAATTGCCGATAGATGGTCTCCTTGCACCAGAACAGCCACCGTTATACCGAACAGCCCGCCGCCACATTATACAGGTCACTTCGACAATCCACCTCTGCTAGCCACCTTCTCCCGCGCCGACCTTCTTGCCAACTTAACGGACACCATTGGCGCGTGGTCCCACCAAACCATCGCCCTCAACTGTCATGCAAAAGTCTAACCCTCTAATGCTATGCCAACACCTTCTACAACCTGAAAGCCTTCTGTCACCATGAACATCCATGCCTCGAGTCCTCGACTTGGCACTCACTTGTCATGAACGATCCATGCTCTCACACAAACCAGCGACTTGCATGAACCCCATCTTGACTCAATTCTATTGACCTCCACCCATCTTGACTCAATTCTGGCCTCTAGAGGGGCTGCCATGAACAATGAAGAACCACCATCGCTACCAATTCGTTCACCATCCTCGCGGAGCACTATCGTGCCGCTGCAACTTAGGTGAAAACTTGGATTCGCCTCACGAGCAGACTCCACTAAGCGTGTGTTTAGTTGGGTGAAAGTTGAAAATTTGGCTACTATAGCACTTTCGTTTTTATTTGACAAATAGTGTTCAATCATAGACTAATTAGGCTCAAAACGTTTGTCTCGCAATTTCCAACCGAACTACAATTAGTTTTTTGGTCGCCATTTAATGCATACACGTGCGCCTCACCTTGCCTCTATGACCGCCTTGCATCCACGCAGCCCCACCTTGAGAATTTAGGCGCAACTAAACACACTTCAAAAAAAGCAGCGCACGAGTTACATGGTCGGTTGGTCGCCACCAACGTGCCACCTGACATTGCCTCTATGACCGCCTTGCATCCACGCAGCCCCACCTTGTCGGTCAAGAGCGCAGGCACCACAGAGCTCGGTCACGCCCACGCATGAGCCCACCACACCGCCAACACCAACAAACACCATCACCACACCATCCTAGCGTCGGCCACACGCCTTTCCTAGTTTCCCCTGTGCAAATCCAGGCATGCTGGCCAAGAAGGGCGTTAATCCCCGCTACCGTTGTCCTTGTCCAGCAGCTGCCTCCGGCGGTGGCGAGGCGATGGGAAGGGGAGGGAAAGGATGGCGACCGTGTAGTGGCTTCTTTGCACACCTCTCGTGTTGCTATCCGCAGAGAGCGACACGGGGGCCTACGCCGGCCGCCTTGGGTAGCTACCGCTGCGGCTCTGCACGCCTAGATCCCCATGGCAGGGCCAACTCCGATCGAATCTAGGAGCCGACGTCCTCGGCCTGCGCAAGCCCAAGAGCTGGAGCCCTGCCGGCACCATCCTTGCCTCCATCTGGGCATCCCGTGGTTGGCTCCGACGACGGCATGTGGAAGACGCTCGGTGGCACCGGAGAGGTTGCGCCGGAGCCGCCCTGTCAACCGATGCAGGGGTGTGTTTTCTAGTTCAAGATCATAAGGATGATTCATCAACTTCTAGTCAACCCTAATAGTAACATTAGGATCTAATTTTTTGATAGAGCATGTAGCTAAGTTATAACTACACAAAGCATTAACAAGACAGGTTGTAAGTTTGAAAAAAAAAACATATACTTGTAGATGTTCAAATGAATCCACAACCAAAACATACTTTATGAGAAATTTAATAAAAGTAGTTTAATGTTTTAGATACTACAAGCTGATTTTAGTATAAAGCCAAAGTAAAGCACCCATATGTACAAACAAAGTAGAATACCCAACAAAGCAGTATCGTGTAAAATAAAATTCAAAGAAATCTTGCCGTTACCAGAGGCCTTCAAATCCTCGAGGAACCCCAGGAAAGCAGCATGCGACGGCCCCCCTTCCGCCAGCGTCTGGGCCGCTCTGTCCCTCGCCGCCGCCGCGCGCTCCCTGAGCGCCCGCGCGCCGTCGGACTCCACCATCACCCACCTCACCTTGGCTTCCACCTCCTCGGCCTTCACCACGTCCTCGTCCCCGACGCGGCTCTTCTTCACCTCCACCCCGAGCTGCATCTCCTCCACGATGAACACCTTGTTGAGCCCCTGCTCCGCGTACAGTGGCCAGCACAGCAGCGGCAGGCCCGTCGTGACGCCCTCCAGCGCCGAGTTCCACCCGCAGTGCGTCACGAACGCGCCGGCCGCGCGGTGCCGCAGCACGTCCACCTGCGGCGCCCAGTTCTTGACGACGAGACCTCTGCTCCTGCTCCGCTCCAGGAATCCGTCCGGGAGGAGCGCGTCGAGGTCGAGATCGTCGGCCTGCTCGCCGGGGCCGCGTGGGCTCCGCACGACCCAGAAACCTCTGCCCGGAGCTCTCCAGCCCGACAGCGATCTCCTCAAGCTGGATCTTTGGGAACGCGCCCATGCTCCCGAAGCAGAGGAACACGACGCTGCGGTCCGGCTGCGCGTCCATCCACCGGAGGCAGCCGTGGTCCTTATCTCTGCCAGGCGAGACCAGCGGCCCGACGCAGTAGACCGGAGGCATGTCGCGGCCGGGGACGCACAGGCCGTCCCTGAGCGCGCGCACGGCGCGAGGCTCCAGCGACTCGAAGGAATTCAGCAAGATCCCGCGTGCCTCCGGCATCCGGGAAGCCAGTCCGAGGCTGGCCTCGCACGCGGCGCCGTCGTCGCGGATCAGCTGGGGCAGCTCCGAGGCCTTGAGCGGAGGCACGCCCGCGAACGTCAGGACGGCGTCGCCGAGCTCCCCGAATCCCGCCGCGCCCAGGGTTCCCCGCATCCCGGGGAGGGCGAGGAAGACGGCGAGGCTGGACGCGCCCGTGGAGGAGAAGAAGTAGGCCGGCACGGCGAGCTCCGCCGCGACGTCGAGCGCGTGGGCTCAGAACGTGTCGAGCACGAGCGCGCAGCGGACGGAGCGGGAGCGGGACGAGGACGACGACGCCGAGAGCGAGCGGAGGAAGTCGCGGAGCGGCGCGTTGGTGGCGCGGAGGAAGCCGAACATCCGGGCGATGTGGCGCGTCGGTGGCAGGAGGGAACTGGGGGAGGGGAGGACGTGGAAGGCCACGGACGTGTTGGCGGCCTTGGCGCGCGCGACCGTGTCGTCGAAGCTGGGGTCCCCGAATGGAGATTGGACGAGTACGACGATGACGTCGAGCGCAGCGCCACCACCGTGGCGGAGGAGCAGCTTGGATAGCTCGAGCATCGGCGAGAGGTGGCCGACGCCGAAGCCCGGGTACAGGACCAGGGTCGTCTTCTTCTCCATGGCTGGACGAGGCGACGGCGATTGCAAGTCCTGGCGAGTGGCGAGCTAGTGCGAAGTGCGGTAGCCGCTAGAGTCCTCCAAGTGATCATTATGCTTCTGATTTCTGAACGCAGTGTATATGACGCGTCATCTGACATAACGAGTAGGCGTAGCTAGGATTTAGAGATAGGGTGGTCCAATGCTCAAAAATATTTTAACCACACTATAAGTGTAACATCTCGATAAATAAGTATACAATGAATTATGAAATGCAATAAAGAACATACATTTTGCTATATATCTGACCGGAATATAAGCCAACATCTTTGATAAATAAGTATACAATGAATCATGAAATGCAATAAAAGGATATATATTTTGCTATATATCTAGACGGGAGTACATGATTTCAGATTGCTTAATGGAGAATTAAAATATTACATACCCAGAGTAGCTTAAGAATAGTACGTTATTTCTTCTTCTTAGGCCTACATTTTATAATAGCCATAAAAGTGTTGATTTTCTCTTCTTCATTCCCATATACCATACATATGCTACACAAAAAAAAATCCTACAATTAAAATAAAATAATTGGACCTTGTACAAAAATTCCTCTATTAATCTAACTCTGTAGAAATCCAGAACCTAAATCAATTTTTGCATACCCTGTGTCTCTTAGTGCACTTTTGCTGTCCGTGCTCATCGCCGATCATCGGCTGCCGATAATGCTTGATCTCTCTCCTATTTTGTAAGGAAAAGCACAATCGTGAGTAAGGGAGGACGGCAGCAGGTTGATTGGCTTAGCCGCTTTATGAGGCCTGGGCTGCTGCTTGCACAGGATCGCAGTCGGCTATCGTCGCGCCGATGGGCGATCGGCGCCGCTGCCGTCGCGGCGTCGGTGTGTCGCCTGACACGCGCACGGAAGCCACAGCGACGGAGGAACACGTAGGGCCGAAGTCGATGGGGCATCCGTCTGCACCCGCATCGCCGCACGGAAGTAAGGGAATAGGGAAGGGTGCGGTGGCGACGCGTTGATGCCAAATTGATGTCGGATCACACACTAGTTAAGTCTAGATCATCCGGGTCATCATGGACCGAAGAACGTAATTGATAACTAACACGCTTTCGCCATAAATAGCGGCGAGGTTTACAAGCAAACCAGCAAAGAGTAACCAATCATGCTTGCGTGATGAAGAACGGCTAATTTCTGAGCAAATTAGCAAAGAAGCCATCGAAGCTCTCGCCCGGGAAGGACCATGTTAGGCAAGAACGTCGCCAGGTTGCCCTAGGTCATCAGGCAAGCCTAGAGCGCCATCATTGGTCGTCGGATAAAGAGATGAACATAATGAGGTTGGAAGAGATAGAGCAAAAAATGATTTGTGTTGTATTTTGACAATTGTATAGTTGGAATCCCTCGATCAGCCGTCAATATTTATAGGACGGCTGGACTTTCCAGGAATTAGAATAGCCAGCCTGTAAGGCACCTGTAAATGCAAATACGTTTCTACCTTGCCGGCACGTATACGAAGAGGACACCGGCTAGCTGGCCACATGCATGCACGTTATTATATTTGAATCTCCTAAACCACCTCTGAACCTTTCACGTACGTGTAGGCAATCAGGCAAGTGACGTGATGCACCTTGCTGTGTCGTCCCTTGCCAAATACTTAGATATAATCTTTCCTGTATGACAAACAGAGCTTGATTTGGCATCTGAACTCAAAAAACGATTGGACTCTCCTTTTCCCATTTCCTTCGGCGACTGCGAGTTGGATTCAGATCCTCCTCCTGTTTGCTTTGGCTGCTGCCTGAAATACGACACGTACACACGCAACAAAAACACCGCTTCATGTCGGACTTCCAACATGTATACGTGACTAGCCGATTCTCCGTTGCGGGCTCGATGGCTTAACATGGCTTACTGGACACAGCCCGCACAAACCAGCCGAAAACCTCTTCATGAATGTTGCTGTTGAGTCCGAGCTAAATTTGAGTGCGAACACGACGCTGTGATCTAGCGATTCGCGAAGGCCGAGCGGAAGATAGAGGCATGGACGTCCAAGGCCTTGGATGAGCCTGAGCGCAGGGTGGTCCGCGGCCCACAGGGACCACCCTGTAGCTCCGCCCGACAGGGTGTGCTTTCCGCTCAGCTTCTCTCTTTATTCCGAGAGAATTTTTTAATTTTTATTTATCAAATAAATATATTTGTTTATTATAGTATATAATTGATATATTTTTATAATAAACTTATTTTAAAATATAAATGTTGTTAATAATTTCTAGGAATCTTATTAAATTCAAAAAATTTGATCAGCATAAACTCATAGCGACAATCTTGTTAGGAGCGATGCTAGCTTTATTCAGTTTTTCCATGGTGTGTGGAAAAATATTAAGAGAATTATTTATTTGACACTAAAATAAATCACTCTTTCATATATAGCACTCGAACAATTGAACTTACTTATCTAGTACCAACTTAAAATTTTCTTTCGTAAATGACACTGCTGTCTATTTTCACCGTGGATATGTTAATTAACCGTTTTGACCATGTCAGTTTTTTCTCCATATGTCAACGTACCGCATCCAATTTTGGCTGAGTCCCACAGGCCAGGGGAGCTCTAGGTGCACCGGCCACGTGGCCATGGGGGCCCATCCCCAAACCACCGCGGGAAAAAAATTCTGTGCATATAGCCCACGCGGCCACGTTCATTTGCCGCATGTCCGTATGCACCATAAAAACCAACACGTGTCATGCATTCACGCATGTATGCATAGCGCAACTGTGGATACGGTTCCATAAAAAAAAAATCCGGGAGGCGGCCTCCCCAGCCACGGTTCGTCGCGCAGATTTGGTGGAACGAACGCCCATCTCAGCTGTTCGTCTATTTGGGCCTGGGTTTCGCGTCGATTATCGCGTTCTTCCAGAGCGGATTAATATGCAGGTGTTGTTCGTGAGTGGCGTGTACCGGATGAGGAAGGGAAAATCTGTAGTACACTTCTGCTGCGACAGATTTCAGTTACTCCCGGTAGCAATGTAATACGAGTGTATGCGTCCTAGATGTTCCTCCTGTTGTGCACGATGGATTCGGTGAAAGGACAAGATTTTCACTTTGTGAGTGGCCCCACATATTTGCTTCCAGTGCTAATTTCACTTGTGAATTGGTCCTTTGCTAATTTCACTTCGTAAGTTGTATCACAACTTGTCAAATCATCCTAAATTTAATTTAAGTTGTACAAAATAGTATTAATATCATCACGTCAAAGAGATAAACAGTGAAAATACATTTTATCAAGTATTTAAAGAAAATAAGTTAATGTGAGCTATGCAAGGTGTTTATCAGGCAGCAGCAGCACGTGGCGAGCGGGCGGCAGTGGGGCGCACCTAGCACGCGGCCATCACGGAGCTCGCGGCACAGGCGGCGCGGAGCACGTGGCCCAGGCGGCACGCGGACCTCCAAGGCGGCGTGGAGCTCGTGGCCCCGGAGGCAAGACCGACGTGCTGCTGCTGCTCAGCGCAGAAGTCAGGATCTCGCCGGCGGGCGCCACGGACCTCACACACCACCCCGCCGGAGTTGAACTGTGTGTTATGGCAAAAAAATCGCTGAACAACCGGAGGTTGAAGATAAGGACAGTTTGAATATTTCCTCATCTTCTCTCCCCAAAACTGAGAAATAAATAAAATAATAAGCACGCTATCTTTTGGCAAATAACCACAAATTTGTGGTGTCTTTAGACAAATTCTCGGTTTGACGGTGTGATCTGGCCAATTACACATTTGTCTAGTGCAATGTTTCCTTAAACGCTAAACGGTAAACAGTCGGTCACCCACCGTTTAACCATTATTCGGGCTAAACAGTCTATTAAACAGGCTAAACAGACATTAAACGGGGTAAATGGACGATTAAACGGAAACGGAGCACCACCTTGTAGCGTTTATAAGGTGTTTAAACGGGCTAAACGACTGTTTAGGTGAACAATGGTCTAGTGTCCCTTAGCAAAATTTGTCAATAAAAAACGCAAAACTAAAAAGTTATAGATATTATCGAGCTCTATAATTTTCATGTAAATATCATTTTCATCCGATGTCGTATAAAATAAGTTTGAGCCTTATCACGCCAATCCCGTTGGCGCGATAAAACAGTATTGTAATGCCAAGGTGAGTAGCGTGATAAGGTTTTCTACGTGAAAATTATCGTCCAATGTGATAGATCTTGCCGCATATGCATGTGGCGTGATAGTGTGATTTGTGGTGCCAGACACGTTGGTGCGACAAAAAAATAAAAAATAAAAAAATAATAGATTATTTTAAAATAAAAATTATAAAAAATTAAAATAAAAATATCTGTAGTGAGATGGTGATGGTTGGAAGGGAGACTTTGTCATTTCACACATCATCAAAAACGGATTTCGCAGTTTTACCATCGGTTTCGCTGCCCAGCGTTGGCCTTCCCCACGCCGCTGCCTCCCCGTGTCGGCGCTGGCCTTCCCCACGCCGACCGGCACCGCCCTGCCACCACGCCACTCCCCTCCTGTGCCGTTGCTGGCCTTCCCCCACGCCGCCTCCTCCCTTGCCGGCACAGGCCCGCCCCCACGCCTTCTCCTCCCCAGGCTCGCCCTCACGCCTCCCCCTCCACTGCTGGTGCCAGCTTAGGCCGCAGGCTATAGCCCCTCCTAGCCAGCACCGCTCCACTTCGGCGCCGTCCAAATGGATGGGAGCAGTAGTTCGACGATTGAACTGGAAATGCCTTAGATTTAAGTTTATTTCACAGAGAAAACACTATAAAGTATATTTAACACCATCATATCTGACTTTAACGAAAAGCAAAGCCAGGGAGGGAAAAAAAAAGGCACGACAAACAAATTAATCAAATTCAAAAGAAAACAGATTGCAGATCTAAAAGTCTGCCTCAGTGGTAGTGACAATTTGTAGATCGTCATGGAACAATCCGATAATACGTGCATTTGTTATGCATCATCGGCAGCCAATGAACACAGGGAAGAAGAAACAAGATCTCGGAAGAAATACAGAGAAACGAGATTTGCTTTTGGGAAAGCCAAAGCATCAGAGAGATTCCCATTCGACAACGCGGGTCCAGACTCCAGAGGACGAACACCGACAGGGAGGATGAGCACGGGTGTCCGTTGCGCCTCCTCGACCCGCCGTTGTCGATGCGGACGGTGAGGTTGAACACCGGCGACGACGAGAGGTTCGCCTCCTCGACCCGTGTCGCGGCCATGGGTGGCCGTTGCGCCGGTGCCGCCTCCGTGGCTTAGCCAGTGACGCCGGTGGCCAGTGCCGCCTCCGTGGCCCTGCCCCGCCGGTGGGGTTGGCGCCGGGGACGGGGAGCGGTGCGGTGTGCGGCGTTGCGGCGTGGGCACTGGGGATGGAGGAGAGGGCCGATCCGTTTTGATGAACATAACAGCAGCTAGGGGCAGGAATAGAAGAAGACGTCTTCTTTTTTTTCCACAAATTAAAACTACCTAAAATATATTTCAGCGGGTTACACTAATTTTATAATGGCAAACTAGCGAAACCACTTTGAGAGATGATAAAACTGCAAAACCCGTTTTTGATGATGGGTGAAATGCCAAAGTCTCGTTGGGAGGTGGGCAGCAATGGGGGCGGCAGGGTTCCTTGGCTCGAGCCACCTACAGGAGCAACGCAGGAGCGTTTGTATTAAGGACGTCGAGCTTCTCCTAGCTCTAACTTTGTTCTATAGGCTCCGTTCGCTTTGAAAAAACAAGCTGAAACACTACTCCGACTGATTTGTTGTGAGAGAAAAACACTGTTTCGATTAAAAAAAAAAGTTGAAAAAGACGGATTATAAGAGAAGCGAACAGGACCGGCTGAGCCAGGAGAGAAAAAAAAAAGTAGCTCCTTCCATCTCTTGTTTATTCGATGAAGAGAGAGAAAAACGGCTTCGCCCTATAAACCTTTCCAAAAGGCCCCCGAAGCTTATTTGGATCCAGGATTGATTCTTATAATTTTCAATCACTAAATTATTAGAATCCAACTATCCACCTCCGCTCTATTCATCGAAGATAATACATACATGTGGAATAACTCCAAACACCTATAATCTAGGGCTATAAATCAAAATAACTCATAATCTCTAGGATATCAAATTCACGCTTAAAAAATCTTGCTCAACGCTTTGCTCCAGTACTGCCAGCTTTTACTGCTCTCCCAGATGAGATAAACACTACCGGACTGCCCTGATCAATTTGGCACGGTAGGCCCACATCACAGTGACCGAGGTCTACGAACACCTGGTCCAGTAGTATCTGCTGAGCTTGGTGGTGTAAAAGCTTGTAACTACTCCGGTCTCCGTCATGATCACTCTTCAAGAACGCTCTCTCGTTAACATCGACGAGGAGAGGCAGCTTCACCTTGAAAGCTCAGACTCGCAGGAACCAACAAGAGAGCACGGTCAAGATTCAGTAAAAATCTTCATCTCTCTCCCTCCCTCTCTCTCTCTCCTGCATTTGATCCTGTGATTTTTTTTTTGGTGCTGTGACAGTGTTGTGGGATTGCACTCAGGCAGATGGTTGAGAAGGGGTGTGAGAGGTGCAGGGAGTGGCAGGAGCACTACTACTGGGAGCACATGGATGTGAGCAAGATCCGCTTCTTCAAGCGCATGACAGGAGATTTTGCTCATCGCATTGTAAGTTTCGGCAGTGGTCGACCACATCCATGAGACCATGACAATGAACACTAACTTTGTTTACAGATGTCTTAAATAGTTAAATGTCAAAGTCAAATATTCTGTTTATATTTTACTCCTATATATAGCAGATAAGTGTCCGCGGTGGACTACTCTGTCAGAAGAACCACAATCACCGATAGTCACAAAAATATTCTGGTTTTTCCATGTGAAAGCAATATTAGTGCATTTTACATTTTACACGAGTACTTCAGTTTTATGCTTTTTTCTTAGGACCTGTTTGGATCCCCTGAATTAAAACTAATATCTAGAAAGTGCTTCCCATTTTATTATTAGTTCACTTTCCAACTCCTCTCAATTCCTGGGAACCAAACAGTGCCTTAATGATTTTAGTACTCCATCCGTTCCAAATTGTAAGTCATTCTAGACTTTTTTTTTTAGATACATAGCTTTCACCATGTATCTAGACATAATACGTAGCAAAATCTATGTATCTGGAAAAAGCTAAAATGACTTACAATTAATTTGGTATGGAGGAGGTAGCATATACTGTGACAAAGGCAATAATAAAGACTGATGTGTGATAACCATCAAAAGAAAAGAAAACCTGATATGTGAAATGACAATAGAGCAGAATGAAGAAGTTGTGCATCATGTAGAGCTGTTCTAGCTAGCCCTGTGATTGGTGAAGCTGTGATTTGTTGCCTAAAGGGGTGAAAGAGTCAAATATACACATAATTTGTTCTAGTACTTTTATATGAATCTTAGGAACACTTATAACATTGTTTCAAAAAAGGAACACTTATAACAGTGCTGATGCATTTCAGCTAGTTTCAAGATAACACTTATCAATTAAGCAGTGATTATGAAGAAATGACTTTTCTTAGCTATTACAGTATCATCCTTCTGAAACCAAACATCTTTTTCTGTTTCCATTATTGTAGAGCATACCGGAGATTGTGAAGAAATTCAATGGACAGATCGCTGAAGGTGTTGACATGAAAACACCCAGTGGTGAAACATGGCATGTTGGTGTAGCCAAGAATGAGGATGAGCTATTCTTCGTGTCTGGATGGGAGGATTTTGTCAAGGCTCATGAACTGAAGGAGAATGACCTCCTTCTCTTCACATGCAGAGGCAGCTCTTCCTTTGAGGTGGTCATCTTTGAAGGGGGTGGTTGTGAGAAAGTGTCTTCTCTTCTTGGCAACAGATTTGGTCCTAATATGTGGAGGCATTTCAACAATATGGAGGACAAGGAAGCTGAGTGTTACTCTCTAAGTGATTCTGAGGATACTACTACACCGCCACATCAGCTGGTTGAATCCCCTCACAATGCTTCTACTTCGAAGAAATCTATTTGCAAGAGTAAGCCAAGTAAGGAGAAGTTGTACATGCTTGTAGTGAAAAACTAGCTAGCATGTTTATTAATCTTTAAGTAATTAGAGATGTTCTAATATATTCCTCTCTTGCAGTATTGGTTTGGCAGCATTAATACACCTAAAACTATGCACTATAAGTAGTGTGCTTTTATTGATAAATTTTAGTGTATAATCTGCTCTATTTGGTGTGCATTTTCTTCATGTCATAGGGAAACAACAAGCTGAATCTCCAAACAGTACTAGTGACTATGATGTCAAGCAACAAGGAATCCATGAAGAGGATAGTGACGACGAATACACTGACTCCAAGTACTACTACTCGAGGACTGCCAATCGACTGAGCAATGACGAAAAAAGGAAAATAATCAGTTTGGCTTCAATCCCACCGGACAATCCTGCGTTTATTACTGTCCTGCGGATGGGCAATGTTCGCTCTAGGAACAACTTTCTGGTGAGATTAATCAATAAATGCAGACCATTTCATCATCAACTTAGGCCTGTAGAAGATTCTCTTGTAGTCCAGAATTTTGGGATGATACTTGATAAGAATGAGAAAAAGTTTAGCACATCTAGTGTAATTACAGCAAGGACTGAATCTGCCCCTCACTAATGAAAGTGTTTTTTTCCTTTAAGTTGTGAAATTCTGTTTGAGGCTACTGAAGCTCAAAATTAGTGGTTATGCCTTGTCTAGTGGTCATCCAGGTCCAGTGTAGCAACAATACCTATCTAGCGGTAATTTTGTGCGTCTATTTACGACAGGCATGTTAATTTTGTTGATCTTACCCTGTATCAGTACTGATACACAACCGATGCTTTGTGCAGACCATTCCCAGCCAATTTGCTGCTGATCATCTTGAGGAGAGATCACAGGAGATCATACTTCGTAGGCCAAACAGGAAAGACAAGTGGTATGTCAGGTACTATTACACGACAGCCATCCGAAGCCTCAAAGGCTACCATTTATCCAAGTTTGTGCGCGAAAGCAAGCTTCGCGAGGGTGACATCTGTGTCTTCGAGCTCATCAAAGGCAAAAGGAGGGTTACTATGAGCGTTCATGTCATCAAGAAGGTTAACGACCGGTTTGTTCTGGTAGCATAAGTTGTTATATATTTTCTGTACTGCATTGTATAAATCCTCCTAGATAATGCACATGTACAGGTCTAGTTTCTGAAACTGAAACTGGAGGTGCCTGGAGTGAACTTTTGTGTCCTGTCAGGTAACTGGTTGATGCAGTAGGGAGGGTACTAGAACAACCAACGTTTGTGATAGATGTTCCTAAGCAAATGGTGCCCTAAACTAAAAATGATCTCTGTCCAGTGCAGTGCTCGGGTAGTCTCTGTCCAGACATTTTGTTTCAGGCCGTCTGGAGTTGAGTTCAGTAGAAGGTTTGTTTATGTTTTAGTGATTGTGAAACTAGTTGCAGTTATATAAATATATGATTCTCATGCATTTGTGTGGCTTGATCTTCTCGTATGATGATGTGCATTCTCATAAGATTCTGGTAGTTATGGACATATGGTTGCATGGCATGAGCTGCCATTGTGAAGTTTCAGGCTTTCAGATAAAGCGGGAGTAAGGATGATTGATCAGAGTTGTTGGAATAATGCAACTTCACCTTTTCTATGCTGCTGTACAAGTGTACATATTGAAGTGTTTTATTGCAAGAGCAGCTCTAGATGGGTAATTATCAGGGATAATGCCGACTGTGGTTGATGATGAGTTGAGACAGCCGTCTTGTGACAGCTATGGTCTTGAACAATTGGGGTTCTGGGCTTCGGGCCACAGGAAGTGGACCTTGGACATCGGCAGAGGCCCGTCCTTGTACGGCCCAATTTGATCCGGACGGCCCAGTGGAAAGCCAGCCGCAACCTGTTGGCCCGCCTAGAGTAAAAATTGGGTCGTGGGCCTCGTGGCCCTTTTCTTTATTCAACTAGTCGAAATTCATGATCCAATAAAAAGGAAAAAGGTTGAAATTGTTGAATTGGTAGAGAAGTATAGATATCGCATCTTTTCTTCAGACTACGTGCATCTCTGTTCACCGGCACCAGATAAATTTGCGGAAATTTATCTCTGCAGCAGACAAATTTGCGTGAATTGATAGGTAGTCCGGTCCTGGTAAGGTTCAGAGTTCAGACCTGATGGATGAAAAAATTTATTTCAGCTAAGCTGATAGCAGCTAAGTAAGCAACAGAAGTAACAGCGATCGTAGCATTTCACTCGTCTCGGTCTGAGTACAATCACCTTCTGACATCGTGGTTCTAAAACAACCGAACAAAGGACTAATCCTGAAAGCAGCCTAGCAGAAATGCTGTGATCACTATTCAGCTCACAGCTCGACGGAGGAGATAAGGGCCTCTTTCTTTGGTGGGCTTCACCTGGCTTCAAGTGTGTCCGAGTTAGCTAGCCTGGGGGGCGGAGCAAGTGTGTGTGTGTCCCAGTGCTAGCCTACAAAGTAATTGTGGTTAGTCCCAGACTTCAAGATAGTGGTTAACTAGTGGAGTTGAGAAGTGTGTGAAGAACTTGACATCCCGGTTCCTGCTCAGACCCATTCATCCATAGAAACTTGCACCCATGCTACCAATTGGATGTGAGCTCAGTCCTGGAAAGTGAAACAGGAATTGCAGAAGGATTCCTTACTAAATAGTAAATACTAATAAGAAAACCAGATTATGAAGATAGAAGCCTACAAAGTATTCTCAGGTAAAAGAGAAGTCTTCTAAAGACATAATTATCAAAAACTAATTATTTGTCAAACTCCTTTGCTTCAGAATGCATCCATCACTTTCTCATCGAGACAAAGTCCTTAAGCTCTCACTAGAACTTCTCATTCAATGCCTCATAAGCCTAATCTCCACCCATGCTCTTTCTAACTGCCAAATGTTCTGGTAACTAACACTACGATGAAAAAACAGAATAAGGATCTACAAAGTGACTCACATCACATTCCACAACAAGATAATGTGGATGTGGCTTCCATTAAATTAACAAATTGATAATATTAATACGGGATACAATTGAAGGAGCAAATTAAGAAGGAAGAAAATTGGGGTGCTTGACAGAATGAGGCAAGCAAATTATACCTTTGTGCATGCTACATGTCCTTTTTAGACAGTGAGAGAAACTCCAGCCTTCACATCATGAGATGTGGACAACCTAACACGCACAACAACATGTGTGGAAGAAAGATTTTGTGCTTTCCAAACTGCATATTCACCAAAAGAATTCAATAGTATCAGTCACTGATTTTACTAATCAGCAGCAGGTCCAAACAATTAGTCAACAACTCATCACTCAGTATATTGAGCAATAACTTTACATAGCTGATTGTTTTGATTAGAATTATCACCTACTGTGCAGTGAGATTAAACCACCTATAGCAAAGCGGTGATATAAAATATAGATTTTCTATGTAACTCGCCAAGGCATCACCAATATATCATCCTTCAAAGAATCAAGACTCTGCAATATTTGAAATAATTCAGGATGAGACTGGTCGGCCATTATAAAAACATGGACGCCATCACACAACTCAACCCAGCTACACCCCGGCTCTTTCTTCACACACTCTCTGCTCATGCTCTCTCTAATCGTCCAGGTCTCATGCCAATCATTCCCTGATGCATGCACACTTGATAGAGCAACCCAGTTGCTGTGGTTCTCAGGGTCAAGCTTGAGCAAACAGGACGCCGCAAACTGACCTAACTTGGCATTCCCATGTATTCGAGATGAGTTGAGTAGCGCGCTCCAAGCAGCAACGCTCGAGTCAAATGGCATATTCTCGATGAATTCAAGAGCTTCTTCTAGGTAACCTCTCCTGCATAGGAGATCCGCCATGCATCCGTAGTGCTCAGGTTGCATCTTAACTGAGCTCGAACCATCAGACATCAAACTGAAGTAGTACCAACCTTCTCTAACAAGTCCACCATGGCTACAAGCTGACAAAACCGCAAGATACGCGATGCCATCTTGTTTTATTCCCAAGTGTGCCATCCTGTCAAACATGCTGACCGCATCCCGTACTCGACCAAACTTGCCATAAGCTGAGATCATTGTGGTCCAAAGAACAGCATCATTCGATGACACTGCTTTAAAGACAAGCTCGGCCGAATCAACACAACCACACTTTGCATACATATCCACCAAGGAGTTCCTGACAACGACATCTGCCTCGAATCCACCACCAATGACCTGCGTGTGCGCCTGCATCCCCTGCTTCAATAGCGCCAGCTCCCCACATGCATCCACGACTATGGAGAACGAGAAACCGTCTGCACCAACGCTACAAGAAGCCATGGAAACAAATAACCTCAGTGCATCCTCGGCCTGCCCGCTCCCAAGAAGAGCCGCCATCATCGAGTTCCAAGCAACCGTGTTCCTGACACGCATCACCCTGAACACTCTCAACGCATACTCTATGCTTCCGCACCTCGAGTACATATCAAGGACCCCATTCTCCACAACCGGGTCGACCGATCCACGCGAGCTCATCTTGACCACATTGGCATGGATCTCCTTCCCGTGAGCAAGCGCGCTCCGGCCGACACCCGCACAGGCCAGCAGTCCACCGGACAGGGAGTAGCCGTTGGGCTGGACACCAGACGCCACCATGCGCCGGAGCAGCGCGAGGGAGTCGCGGTGTAGCCCCTGGTGCGCGTGGCCGGTGACGAGGGACGTCCAGGAGACCACGTCCCGGCGGGGCATCTCGTCGAACAGCTCCCGCGCGTACCGCGGAAGCCCGCTCCGCAGCGCCAGGTGCGCCAGGGAGGTGGCGTGGATAGCGGAGGCGGTGAGGCCGAGCTTGAGGAGCACGGCGTGGAGTGGCCCGACGTGGGCCGCGGAGCGACGGGCGGCCGCCGCCTTCAGGGCCGAGGCGAGGGACGTGGCGTCCCACGCCGCCGGGGTTGAGCTCTGCCATGAGGCGGCGCGTGAAGGTGGCATGCCCGCAGCCGCGTCGGACTAGAAGATCCTCTTGCTCGGACAAGGAGGACAGGAAGGAAGGGCGGCGCGATTGAGTTCGCCGGCGGCGAAGCTGTGAGAAATCGTGAACGCGGTGGCATGGAGATGGCTACGGCCAGCGGGCGAGGTGTCTGTCCCGGCGAGCGCGCCGGAGATTCGGAAAGGATTTCGGCCGGTTTCAGGGGCGGGTGCCGGCTGCTTTTTACCGCTCTCAGAGAGCCTCTTTGTCACGAGAGAATGCAACTATGGTTTTCTGTTGAAGTTATCAAACGGTAATGCTACCGTTAAAACGCTCGGAAGGCTGGCATTACCGTTAATGCAACTATGGAGCGAGACATTTAGGCTGCTCGTGCTATCGTTCGCGCCACCGTCTCTAGCGACCTGCAGATCGGAAAATATTGGTGCTACCTCGTGAATTTCTCGATTCCTCGAGACGCAGCGATTCCGCAACCTCACCTGTGGCTCCATGAGAAAAAATAAGTTGGAGACCATGCTCGTCCTCGCCGAAGTTCGACGATCCCGTCGGTGACCATGAATAATGTTTATTCGAAGATGCAGCCTGCTCCCGACATTCGCCGAGGCCCGCACTCCATCTGCTGCTCCGAGGAAATCGACATCGACGCCGCCCACCGCCCCCACTCCACGGCTCTCGTCGCCAACGCACCACAGGCCTCTGCTGCTCCTCACCAAGGGCGGTGGCGCCCATCGCTTCCAAAGACGATCACATCCCGGTGCCAGCCAAGCCACACCAGAGGCCGGCAGAACGACGCCAAACGCTCCATTAGGTGCCGCATCCCGGCGTAACTCACCAACATTCGCCTAATAAAAAATAAAATAAAATTTCGCACTCCTCGTTTTCGCTCCGCTGAAGCCCTTACGCTTTACCTCTTCCTCTCCACGAACTTGATTTCCCGTCGCTTTACCACCGACAATTGTTCAATTGAATTTGATCCGCTTGGTCTTTCTGTGAAGGATTTACAAACAACACCAACATCCTTCCTCCCTATGGCACCGCCCTCTCGGTCATCTTGGGCCCACTTTGTCCAAACTCATTAGCTCCAGATCTAGTGGCCCATCATCTCTGCCCCCATACTACTCCCTTGAGATTCACTACGCCTTTGGACGCAAGATTCATAGAGGTGGTGCGGCGGCCTGTTGCGCACGCAACCACCATCAAGAGCGCCGGTCACGAAAGTGTGCCCTCCTCTCCTCTCCACGGTGTTGCACTTCGCATGTCGTGCCCCCTATGGCGCTCTCTTAATAATATTGTGCCACCCCAAGTGGTGTCCTCTCTCACCCAGACGATTTTCATCTCTACTCTACTCCACCCACATCCACTCCGAGTGTTTGGTTGTGCTCAGCCTAACATGGTGCTCCTCGCCCCACATCCTCTCCATCCGTCCCACTCGCTGTCTCGAAGTTAGAGTCGGATTTTGTCGAGCCAAGCTACTGCAGTTTGGTACTAGTGGCTGGGCGGTACTAGTGGTGCTGGCGGTGGCGCGCCTGCAATTCACCCGCCCCCGCCCCGGGATCCGAGACGACTAGAATCGAATCCGCCCTCCAGCCGAGACTTCCCCATTCCCTATATTGCAAATGTATGTTTCAGCTGTTTTAGTCGTTTCAAAGATATGTTGCAGTTTGTTTCTTATGGATGTTGCAAAAGTAGACCGATGGATGTTGCACATGTCGTATATGTTGCAAGTGTTTCAGAAGCATGTTGCAATCATTTTTATCTGGATGTTGCATATGTTTTCACTCATATGTTGCAACAGTATGTTTCAAATATTTCAGCTATTTCAGTCTTATGTTGCAGTTATTGTTTTTCATTTTGTAATCGTTTTATCTAGATGTTGCATATGTCCTAAATGTTTCATCTATTTCAAATGTATGTTGCATTCGAGTGTTTCATGTTGCAAGGGCAGATCATTTTGCTGCTCTGAAGCGCATCTTGCGCTACTTACGAACACTTGGTGTCCATGAGGACAAAGCAGGCAACTTGGTGTGCCGTCCAAGCGACGACATACCGACATGTGAGAAGAGGCGCATTGCGACAACGTCGCTGCTGCCTCCAAGCAATCCTCATGCAAAGATCAACGGAGAAGTGGGGAGTTCTCCATGTCCCGACGACATCACAATGACGCCAAGAACAAGGGCTTCCTACTTCCTGTTCCAGAGTTTCGGTCCGGTTTCTGACCGTTAGCGATGCTCCCGATTAGTGCATGTTGTGGAAGAGGCGGGGCAAGTCTTGCAAATCCACAGCGATCATCACGAGGAATACAATCAAAGAGATAGGCGCCTGCCCATGAGTTTCGCGGTAGAAGAGAGCCTCTTTGTCTCGAGAGAATGGCGGGGCCAAACGGTAATGCTACCGTCATCTCGAGCGTAGTTCGCCTAATAAAAAATAAAATAAACTTTACAGAGAGTTGCCATGCTTTACCTCTTCCGCCTCTACCGCAAGCGGCCGGCTCGCAACGCATGCGATCCAAGGGCCCTCTGACTCCGCGAGATCCACTACGAAAGATTCGGAGTTGACACCTCTCTCCACCACCCAGTGGCGCTTCTCTCCCACCCAGTGGCGCTCACCCCACTCGAATCCAAGCAGACATGGCAGAACCAGGACGCGTCGAAGTCCGGATGCTAGTGTTGTCGTTATCCAAAATTGACCAAATTTACGACGAATAGTATTTATTCAATTATGTAGCCAAACCAGTATATTAGGAAAGTATATTTCAAAATGAATCTAATTATATTTATTTTGTATTATAATTATTTGTATCGTTTGATATAAATTTCAAACTTAACAGTATCCGGGTTTGTCGAAACGTGAGAATTGCATTTGGATTGAGGGAGTAAGTAAAACACTGTGCAATGGTGAACCTTCCGCGGTGGCCCACGTCACAGTGACAGGGGTCTACGAACTCTTGGTCCACCCTCATGTACTGTACTGTTCTTGGCGGTGTTATGTAATACGTGTATCAGTATATCTGTATATATGTAGCCACTCCCTTCTCTTCCGTCAACATCGAGAAGACAGGGGCAGCTTCACCTCGGAAGCTCAGACTCGCAGGATGCAACAAGAACATACCCAAGCTTCAGTAACCCTCTCTCTCTCTCTCTCTCTCTCTCTCTCTGCGTATAATCCTGCCAAATATCTGTGCTGTGACACTGTGCTTTGTCAGATGGTTGAGAAGGGGTGTGAGAGATGCAGGGAATGGAAGGAGCACTACTACTGGGAGCACATGGATGTGAGCAAGATCCGCTTCTTCAAGCTCATGACTGGGGATTTCGCCCGGGGCATTGTAAGTTTCTAACTGTCCAAAGCCCACTGTTCTTTGTTCTTTGTTCCGGCGAATATCCCACTGCCATGTGAAGTCAATACTAGTGTTCGTTTTCTATAAATGTTGGTCTAGAAAACATGCAGTTGTAAAAGTTTTGGTTCTGCTGAGCACTATTGAGCTATCCCTGTAAAAGTGTAAAGGAGATATGTTACAGCAAGGAGCTTAAGCAGGAAAAGGAGTAAAGGTCAAAGGACACAAGCTTTAAATCTCATGTCTGGATCTAAATATTAATCTTACATTCGCAAAAAAAATATATTAATCTTACCTAGGAGCACCTATTATGTGGCAGATATGCTGTAAGTAACATAAATGTGATCTTAATCTTATGTCCACTTGCCAAGTTTAAAGTTTCTTTATCAAAAAAAAAAAAAAAAAAAAAAAACTGGCAGGAACTCTACCGTGCATAATAACTGAAAGCAAATTCTCTTCTACTACTCTGCATTATTATAGTACAAGAAAATTTGCTTAAGTTATTTTGAAGATATTTTGTTCTTCTTTAGGGATCAAGATTACTATTTTTAGCTGATTATGAAGCGATATTTGCCCTGTTACTACATTATCATCATCTGAAAATTAACTTTATAAGCAAAGAGTTGTCACTCATCTGCTTTCATCTTAGAGGATACCAGACAAGTTTGCAAAGAATTTCAAGGGACAGATCACAGAAGAGGTTCAGCTGAAATCACCTAGTAGTGCTGAAACATGGCACATCGGTGTAGAGAAGCATGGTGATGAGTTGTTCTTCATGTCAGGATGGAAGGATTTTGCCAAGGCTCATGAACTGCAGGAGAATGATCTCGTGCTCTTCACTTGCTGTGGAAACTCTTCCTTTGAGGTCCTAGTCTTCGAAGCGAGTGGCTGTGAGAAAGTGTCTTCCCTGTTTGGCAATGGAATTGGTCCTGATATGTGCAAACAATTCAATGATATAGTGGGTCAACATGGTGAGCATCACTCTCTGACTGTGAGCGATTCTGAGGATACCATTGCGCCGTCGCAGCTGGTTGGATCCCCTCACAACGCTTCTCCTTTGAAGGAACCCAGTGGGAAGGCTAGACCAAGTGAGTAAAAGTACTATAAGTTTGCAGTGCAACACTAGGCATTGTTTGTTCTGAATAAATTAGTACATGGCATGTCTTAATATGTTTATCTTTCAAGGTAGTATATAAATAATATACCTGAAACTATGCATCATCAATACTGTTGGAGTTGATCATTTTCAGTATATATAAAACAATATACATAATGTAGATCTTTCTTGTCAGGTGAATATGAATTACCAAACACCAACAACTTTATTGTCAAGCATGTGGCAACTGGCAAAGAGGATAGTGATGATGGATATGCTAACTCTAACTACTACTCGAAGTTTGCCAATCGACTAAGAGATGAGGAAAAGGAGAAAATAATAGGTTTGGCTTCCATCCGACCAAACAATCCTGTATTTGTGACAGTTCTGATGAAAAACCATGTTCAGCGCAGAAACAACCATCTGGTGAGTTTGTTCATATAGCTAAAGAAAATGAAAATGATTGAATATTTAATTTATTTATTTACTTTTGAAACGAATTGAATATTTAATTTAGGCATGTGAGATCTTTGTAAGTTAGGTTTTGATTTGTTAATAGGTACTACAAAAAAGCTTTCCTCTTTCAAATGTTGCTATTATGGTGGAAATTTGCTGGCAGCCACTCAAATGGTGCTCTGTTTTTATATCTGAAGCTACCAAATGGTAGCTATTTCTGTAGTCTGTGTCCTGCCAATCTGACAATGTCCAATACTGAAAACACTCAGCTGCCTAAAAGCAGCTAACTGTATATACCAAGGAATGAATATAACCAACCCTAACATACTGCTTTTAAGGAAAATTAAATCTCACAGTAGTGTTTATATTACCTCATATATTGATGGTGGTACCTTCATCTCCACACTAGAATTCTGTGAATATCAGTTTCAAAAAAAAAATTATGTGAATATCTTCATATTATACTCTTTCCGATACAATGTTAAACTAGCTGATTTTATTGCACAGGTCATCCCAAGTAAATTTGCTGCTGATCATCTTGGGGAAAGAGCACATGATATCATACTTCGTAGGCCAAATAGGAAAGAGAAATGGTTTGTCAGCTACTATTACTCATGCCGCACCCGGTGTTTCCACAACTTACCGTTGTTTAAGTTTATGAGCGAAAACAAGCTTCGTGAGGGTGACATCTGCGTCTTTGAGCTGATGAAAGGCAAAAGGAGAGTGACGATGACTGTCCATGCCATCAGAAAGGCCAATAACCGGTTTATTCTGGTAGGCTAATCTGATGTAGTGCACTTGTACTGTTGTAGTTTCTGCAGTATGTACTATGCAGGGGTAGCATTGAGAACTGAAACTGGAAGTGCCTAGTGATGCTTGAAAGGAATGCAAGTGTAATTTTGTATCATGTAAGGTAACTTCGTGATCAGCAGTATGGCAACTAGAACAAGGTGTGGCCTATGTAATGTAAATGTTTCTAAGCAAATGTTACCCTTGGCTTATGCTTTTGTGCCTGGTTCAGATCTCCCATCTGGTGCAGTGCTTTTTAGATCTTCACGTGTTGTTTCAGGGACGTCTCAAAAAAAAATGTTGTTTCAGGGAGGGGGCCATTTCTATGTTAAGTGGAAGCTTGTATAATAGCACTTGCAGAGTTGCAGTGATATGCCTCCCATGCATTGTTGTGGCGTCTGTTTCCTTCATATGATGAATTTGTGATGTGATGTGTACAGCTGTTGAAGTTCTGAAACAGTGACATGGTATGTGCTGGCACTGTGAAGTTGCTGCTAAGGTAGTGGGTCTCAGCTCAGATTCTGGAAGTTGGAGCCTGATCTCTTCAGTAATGTTGTGTGATAAATAAGCCAAATATAAGACTCCGATCATGCAATTATCTGAAATCATACTGATTTTGCTTGATTCTTGTTTGAGACAATCAGATTGTGACGACCTAGTTCTTGGAATAATTGTGTGCTGCTAGCAGCTAAAACAGGTCTCTTTCCCCCCTATAAGAATTAGCAAAAGGAAACAAGTTTTGTTCACTGCTCGCCTCACTCCCAAGTGCCAACTTTACCTTTCCCCAAGATGAGGCAAACAACATTCTAGTGTTCACCGCCCAAACAATAAAAAGAAAGGATCCTAGTGCATCAGCTACCCTGACCCCAGCTGGCAGTGACCAAGGTCCATGAACAATTGGTCTACCAGCCTCTAGCCAAGCATATGTCATGTCCAATCTCACAGTAATAGCTAGTAACAACTCCACCGCTCAAAAACTAGTAGCAGCTCCTCTCACCTCCATAAAAACACTCCCTCGTTAACATCAAGGTGAACGGAGCAAGTTGCAGCCGACCAGAGAATGCAGGATGAACAAGGTAAGAACTCTCTCCATACTTCCTTCTATGATTTCCAACAGATATTTAGCCAGACAAACTTTGGAAGATGTATGCTGTGACAATGTTGTGTGGTTGCATGGCAGATGGCCCCCCATCTGCGGTGTGAGAGCTGCAGGAAGTGGCAAGAGCACTGCTACCAGGAGCACATGGTGAGGGAGAGGGTGAGTTTCTTCAAGCTCATGACAGGAGATTTTGCGCAGGGCATTGTAAGTATCCACTAGGCTGCCAAATTCTTCAAGGTTTCATCATTTAGTTATGAAAGCTTATGGTTGTGTTGAGAGCTTGTGTGCTGGTTTGTTATTGGATAAGTGTTACAGAGAGGAAAATAGGCAATAAAAGGACAACCTACCTCGGTTCCAAAAAAACTTGATGTTCTTAGAATGTAAGTCAAACTATCCTAAGTTTGACTATTTGACTAAATTTGTAGGACAAATATCAACATTTATAACAGGAAATAGGTATATTAAGAAAATATATTCTATGAAAAATCTAATGGTATGAATTTGGTATTATAAATATTGATACTTTTATAATAAATTTTAAAACATACGAAGTATTATCCTCAAGGATATATGAGCCTCCTTATAGAAAAAAGGGGGAAATCTATTTTATCTGACAATTATCAATAGTTTGCATTTGTCACTGATTTGTTTACCGAGACCATTTGAGCTACTATTTGGACATACAGTTCTTTATATCAGACACATAACCAAGTCATTTGCACCATTATCCTCTAAATGTAATCTAATCATGTGACATCTGTCTCCTGTTCTTATGTTAGAGCATACCGAACAAGTTTGTGAGCAACCGAAATGGGCAGATCACCAAAGTGTTCAACCTGAAATCACCCAGTGGCGAAACATGGATCGTCGATGTCACAAAGAATGCCGATGAGCTGGTCTTCAAGTCAGGATGGGATGATTTTGCCAGAGCACATGAGCTACAAGAGAATGACCTTGTGATCTTCACACGCAGTGGCAACTGCTCCTTTGATGTCCTGATCTTGGACTCAAGTGGCTGCGAGAAGGTGTCTTGTTTCTTCACCACTAAGAAGGGTCCTTGCATGCACAAGCATTTCAATGGCAGAGCGCATCAACAAGCTGAACACCGCATGTTCAGTGATTCAGAAGACTTGGGAATGCCGTTGTGCCTCGTTGGGACCTCTACTTCAAAGAAGAAGGGTGGCAGGACTGAACCAAGTAAGTAGAGTACACATTTGCTGTGGTTAAAGCTGGGTATTCAGTTGTTAAATTTATATACGGATGTCATCTACAAATTACAATCAGTAATCTGTTTTGCGCGCTCATGCTCAAATCCAAGTTTATCAAGTTTATGTAAATATTGCACACTTTTGACAGGGAAAGAGCCTGAACCTCCAAGCAATAGCAATTACTATATCAAGCAAGAGGCGATGAGCGATGAAGAGCAGAGCGACGAAGATAGGCTTGCCGATTCCAGCTACTACTACTCAAAGTCTGCCAACATCCTAACTGATGGTGAACGGGATCAAATATTCAGTTTGGCTTCGATTCAACCAGGCAATCCAGCATTTGTGGCTGTACTGCTGAAGACCCATGTTGGGCACAAGAACAACATGCTGGTCAGTTCATATATTTCTGTGTACCTTTTTCTCTGCTGATTTGAAGCTCCATACAAATTTCTGTAGTGTGGCCATTTGATTCGATAGGAAATAGAATAGTTTCCTTCGGTTACTCATCATATGACTGCCTACCCAAATATTACAAATCAGAGATAAACTAGTTTTGTCGTAAACCCTAATTTTTTACTTCCATTTACGCAATCAGATAAACTAGTTTTGTCGTAAACCATAATTTTTTACTTCCATTTATGCAATCAATAGTAGTAATTAGTAGCATTAATTGTGCGACAGTATGAGTTGTGTTTCCAACATTTGTTCCAGTGTTAACTATGCACCGTGCAGTAAGGGCTGACCCAGTTATGCTTGGTGCTTGCAATGCAGACCATTCACCATGGATTTGCAGCAGAGCACCTTGAGGGGAGATCCCATGAGATCCTGCTCCTCAGGCCAAACAGGAAAGAGAAGTGGTTCGTCAAGTACTACCACGCCAGCCATACCAGAGGCTTCAACTGCTGCCGCTGGGTCAAGTTCGTCCGTGACAACAGGCTGCACAAGGACCACATCTGCGTCTTTGAGCTGATGAAAGGCGCCAAGAGGACGACGATGATTGTCCATGTCCTCAGGAAGGTTGATAATGGAAAGATTGTGCTGGTGGCCTAAGTTCACGTCCCTAGTTTGCTATGTATCAAGTGATGCACAAGTGTTGTGCAGTTGCTATGTACCATGATGCAAGTGTTGTGCTATATGTATCATGTATGTACACGTATGTGCCACTGACTGAAAAAACTGAACTCCTAAATGAGCACTGCTACTCTGCTATGAAGCTATGTGTATGGCTATGGTTACTGGAAGTGAGATGTGTTAATGTTTCTAAGCAAATGGTGCCATCATCCGTAACTCATGCACAAATAAACTTTGCATAAAAGAGACAGTTGCAGAGTGACAGCAAGCAATATGACGATATACGACGATAGGCGCATCTCTAACATTCAGGAGAGGTACAACACAGATTAAGTATTTGTGTCGGTCACCAATGATTTCAAAAATGACAATGAAAATTAAGTTAACACCTCATGCAAAAGTAACCAAGGCACGGTAACACTACCAATTAACTCAGCTCAACTGAAATTTGACACCAAAGAATCTCTGCAGATGGTAGTATAATATCGCGTACCAAAAGGGGAAGATAAATCCATGTGCACAAACCATGCCATGTAACATTAAGATTATTTCAGTCTATTCTAAGATCCTAACGAGGAAACTGGCTATTGCTGGGTAAATTCTTCTAACTTTGCAGTGGAAAAAATGCCATAATAGCTTTTCCCGAAGACACATCTTTTATCCTTTCGAAAGGATGGGATCTACACAACAACTTCAAGTACCTGCAAAATAGCGGCAGTATATGGTAAGCAAAGGCTTAAGAAATTTAAAGCTCACTGCAATATGAGACATCAAGAACAACAATCAGACAAATCTGAAAAAAGGAGAAGCTTTGATCAGGGCACACAGCAAAGATAAGAAAGGAGATAACATGCTTGGTGGCCCCACATTTGAACAATAACGAAAAAGTACCGCACTGTCAAAATCAATACAAACCCCAAATAGACAGCAAGTTAGAAAATGAACTTGTTAGCCCCACATTTGACCAATCATGAAAAGGTACCACAATGACAAAATCAATACTAACCCCAAATAGACAGCAAGTTAGAAAATGAATCCAAGAACAGTAGAAACTATGAGAACTGAAACTCTGTAAGTAGTAAGTGTTATGCGACAGTCATAGAAAACATTTGGATTGGTGGTGCCAACTGCCAAGTGATCAAAAGTGTAAACAAGGAACCACAGAAAGCACTGAATACATTCATTATTCTTACTGATTGGGAACTATGAAAATACAGAAACAATTGCATTCTTTTTGTGGAGCTGTCGCTAGTGTAGTTTGGTGGGGTGAGATCAGTGGAGTAGGAAGGGGCCCTGTGGCAAGCTGCTGCCTGGATACAAAAACTTAGGCCCTGACTTGGTAGTGGCTATTTGATGCATGGTGCGGTGCATCTGTTTTTTTTTTCCTACCATGTAATGTTTGAACTGATTCCTATGGGCTGGTGCTTTGTATTCCTTTTCTTGTACTATAATGATATATGAAGAAAATAAAGGGGGGAGGAAAGACCATTCTCTAGCTGGAAAAATGATTGGAAACAAAAAGCAATTGATATCAAACAAAGAATAAGAATCATAGGTCATGTCTATTATATAGGGTTGATACTGCAGGAATATTTTCTGACATTAAAATCTGCTAAATGTTTCAGAGAGAATTACTAATAGGCCCAGTTCTGCTGAATTTTGGTTTAGGATGAATGAGAAAAAAATCAGTATTACCAAAGGAGTACATGCTTCAAACCAGCACCTTTGGCAGGCTCTACAATGGCCTCTCTTGCATCACCCATCTTTTCCGTTTCCTAACAAATCCCAACCATACCCACAATCAACTAAAGTTTCAATAGTGTAAAAATGTTTCTAGGTAGTGTATTTGAACAGTTGTACAATGTAGCCAATTTAGTTAAAGAGAATAAAAGGGCGTACCCAGTGCAGAGAGCTCCCGCTCTGTGCGGGGTCTGGGGAAGGGTGTCAGTGGCGAGCCTTACCCTCGCCTGTGCAATGCGAGGAGACCGCAACTCGAACCCGGGACCTTCCGGTCATAGGCGGTAAGACTCTACCGCTTGCACCAGGCCCGCCCTTCAAGTTAAAGAGAATATAGAATTAAAAAACTGACTGTAGATAAATGTACATCATTATACGATTTTCATGCTTCAGAAATGATGGTAAGAACACAGCACACAAAGGCTGGTGATGAATCAAAACACCAGCAATGCATCCAAGCATTAGTGTGATACTTCTAACAGGGAAGGCCGCACACTGCATATTTATGAGTTCACTTTCTTTTTCCAAAACAATTCCAAACTCACAACTAATCAAATATACTTGTGTAATTCAATATTCAAGGGGAAATGGGGAAAGAATGTGAAAAGGGGACCTACATCATTCTAGGACAGAAGGTCCCCATCAAGTTGTGCAGTCTCCAGCATCAACCATCTTTCCCACTCCCTATAAAATCCCAATTTTAATCTCCTTAAATCAGCTCCACTCAACTTTGTTAAGAGTAGAAAATAAAGCGTACATAACATATAGCCCCTAGTGTGCCCCTGCATTGCTTGAAATTGCACTTTTTGACAGTAGTAGGTAAGAGTTTGTATGAGATACTGGTTTCATGATCTACCTATTAATGATAAAATGACATGCAATGAGCAATAGAACTAGGTTCGCTCAAAACTACATCTGCATTCCAAGCCACACTTGATTCAAACCAACAAGTCAATGGCCAAATGCATCTACAACATACATCCCTTCAGTGTCCCAAGTGAACTTCGCAGGAGACACACCGTCGCAACAACGAGCACAAATCAGCATTATTTATATATAAAAAAGCATTGGACGGCATTAGATGCAGCAGGAAGCATTAGATGCAGCCGCACGACTTTAGATGGCACAAGAGCGGGGAACGTACCCTGGGAAAGCTCGCAGCACGCCCGCGCGCTGGCACCGGGGTGCGCCGTGAGACGCGCCATCACCGCGGCCACCGTCACCGGGGACCCCATCATCGCTGCCAGAGGCCTGCAAAAACCACACCCCGATCCCATCTACCGTGTCAGATCACCACCGTTCCTCAGGGCTCCACGTGGTAGTGGGGGCATTGGATTGGATCGCTTACCGCGCGGACGGGAGCGGGGAGGAGGAGGTGGCGAAGGCGGACGGGACGCGGCGGCGCGGGGCCGCGAACGGTCGCGGGGCGTGGAGGCGTGCGGCCGGGCGGCGGACGGTGGCGAGGACGGCCCGGGTGGCGGGACCTCGCCACGCCATGGCTGGCTAGGGTTTCGTCGACGAGGGCAAATGGGAGGAGGAGGAGGAGATGGTGGCGGCGGCAGGCGGATAGGGGAGAGGAGTCGTGGGCCGATTCTGCGCCCCTTGGGCCCGCCAGTGGTTAGAAATGGGCTTTGCTAAAGAAGCCGGCGCCTCTCTCTGCAGCTCAACGATATCGGTTCCTGGACTTGAGGAAAACAATAATCAAGATAGACACGAATCCTATCTTGATTGATTATCATCACAATCACAAATATAAATTTATAAAAATTCACGTATAGGTATGTCATCAAACCATTTTTAACCTCAGCCTATGTAAAATGGATGTACCGAAAAAGTTAATTGACATATATAATTTAGAATATATAGATTGGTACTTTTGTAACATAGTATAACTCTTTTTTCATGAAGAATAAAATGCATTTTTATATAAATATTTTTTACAAATTAACTTGCACAAGGACACTCATATTTATGGTCATAAAACGTACATGCTATAATCTAGTAGTAGTTCTTACCCCGATAATCCTAATTTGTAGCGCCAAACGAGGGAATAATAGGTTCGGATCACCCCGGTCCCCATGCCATGATCCATTATTTTTTTAGACCCAGTTTAGTCGTAGACGCTCATATACACGAGTGCACACTTAACCTTATGAACGTACGCATGCACGCACACCCTGTTTGAGAGTGGTTGTAATCGAGAGAAAGAGAATGAATCGAACTGCCCTTTTCCATTGAATGGTCTCGGTATTTATACAAGTTGGAAGGACGCCATGGGAGTAGGGAACGTCGGTTCGGGAACGTGGAAACGCGGTCACGAACGGATATCCCTCCCAGCGATGTTGGTTCCTAGGAGTAGAAGGGGGAGACGCCTGTTGGGGAACGTATCGTAGTTACAAGGAGATTTTACATTGATCGTAGGATTAGATCTAAGGTTAGGACTTAATCCACGTCACTAATCTGTAGGTTAGGATCCGTGTGGATGTGATCACTCTAATCCTATTGGTTCATCTCCTGAGGCAATGGATTGCTTCTTAACACCCCCTTGATCGCATCTAGTCTTAAGATCAATCAACAGCTTCAGAACCTCCAAAAAAAAACCTTGTAGGAAAAAAATATGAGGTGATAATATTGATGATACGTCATTAAACTCCTCAAAAACCCAGTGGAAAAAATCAGGAGAAATGATATGACATATTTTTAGATTATTGTCCGTTGTAAACTTATATGGGAAAACCTTTATAGGAAAAACCCATAATTTAGTTTAGACCAATATTATGGTATATGGGCCATAATTAGTATAACCTCCCCCAAAAACCACGTGGGAAAATATGACGAGGAAAAAATGTCTTTGATATTCCCTTAAAAACCTCTTATGAGGAAAATAGAAAATATGACATGTTATGGATTTGATATTGCCTCATTAAAAACCTTATTTATGAGAAAGTTTATAAAACTCATAATAGGAAAAGAGTGCAATATAATGCTTAACACATGAAAGGATCAAGATGCCCAAGAGGGGGGGGGTGAATTGGGCTAATTCTAAAATTCTTTACAATAATTGAACCCCACACTTAGCCCACTTCACCCCTTGTGCCTAGAATGTGTTCCTATTGATCTATCGCATAAAAGTTTTGCACCCTAGGTTCCAATCCTACTCTAACATGGCAATTCTAAGAATGTAAAGATAAGAATTGAATTACTTAAATGTAAATGCTTAAAGTAAAGAGAGGAGAAGGAACACGGCGATGTTTTGCCGAGGTATCGGAGAGTCGCCACTCCCCACTAGTCCTCGTTCGAGCACCCACGCAAGGGTGTATTTCCCCCTTGATCCACGCAAGGATCAAGTGCTCTCTATGGGCTAATTCTTCGACACTCCGTCACAATGAATCGCCCACAACCGCTCACAACTTGAGTTGGGTCATCAACAAGCTCCGCCGGATGATCACCAAACTCCCGATCACCACCAAGCCGTCTAGGTGATGGCGATCACCAAGAGTAACAAGCACGAACTCTCACTTGACCACAACAAGCCTAATGAGAAGGGTGGATGCACACTTGCTACTTTCCTTGCACTAATGAGGCCTTAATCTTGGATTCTCATATCTCAATCACCTCACTAGGCTCTTGCTCTCCTTAGCACTCTCAAGGGTGTTTCTCAACTGAACAAATGGGCAAGAGACCTCCCTTGGATGAATAGAGAAAGTATTTATACCCCCTCATTCAAAACGAACCGTTAGGAGGTTGAGTCAGCACTCTGCGGGGTGACCGGACGCTTCGATCAATTATCCCCGCCACAGAGCCGTTAAATTATGACCAGACTCTGACCTGCGTCCGGTCAGGAAAACTGCTCTCTCGAACCTTATTGATGTTGACCAAACGATGGCACCTAGAGTCCGGTCACTTCACTGTTCAACGTCCGGTCAGTTACCGGATCCTGACCAGCGTCCGGTCAGCACTGACCGGACGTGTCCGATCAGGAATTTCCCTCTCTAGAACCTCTCTAGAGTTGACCGGACTCTGGCACCCAGCATCCGATCACTTTTCACTCAGCGTTCGGTCGTAACCAGACGGCTCCAGTTGATCAAATGAACTGACCGGACTCACCCTTCAGCGTCCGGTCACTACCAGACCAGCGTCCGGTCAGTCATTTGACCCTCCATTCACTTCCAACTCGAAATCATATGTGAATGAAGTTTGCTCCAATTGATCTTAGGGCTACTCCTAAGCTACATAGTGTTAGATTTGATAAGTGTGCACCACACCTAACCCACTAGACTCACCTAGGTTAAGCTACTAGTCCATACCCCCCTTAATAGTACGGTCAAAGGAAAAACAAAGTCCTAAACTACTCTAAGTGTCTCTTCAACACCAAACGACACTGAGAACTAGTCCATCCTTTGAAAACCAAAATGATTTACATCGTTGGGACATGACAACCATGATTGCCCAATCAATTGCCATTACCATGACCTAACTTAATTTACCTCTATAAAACACACGTTAGTCATAATAATCTCGTATTGTCATTAATCACTGAAACCCAACTAGGGGCCTAGATGCTTTCAATCTCTTCCTTTTTGGTGATTGATGACAATACAAACTCGAGTATGTAAAAGAAATGAGGTTTTCAACATGCTTGGTTCATATAAGCTTTTGACAATAAGAGCAAAGGTGTTAGACATGCTTATATGACCCAAGCCAACATGGTGTACTCAATAGATATGAAATAAGCATGAGTACAAGAAATAAAGCTCATTTGAATCGGAGTAAAATGCGGAAGCAAAGCAAATGAGCATAATGAAGTGACATGACATATATATAGATCAAAGTAGAGAGCACATATGTCACATATCACATACTATCACACGTATCACATAAGTATCACAATCACACGTATGTAGTTCAATGTATGAAAGTAAACATGAATGCATAGTAATGTATCACACATAAAAAGCCAAAAGTACTAAATCATAAGCTCCCCCTAGATACAACGTTCCCCCTAGATCTAACATACTCGATCCCTCTCCCCCTTTGGCGTCAAACACCAAAACCTAAGGGTCGGTTGGCGGGGCAGGAGCAGACGAGTCAGGCGCTGAGGTGCGATGAGCGATCTAAAACGGTGTAGCATCATCCTCTGATCTAGAGCTCTGAGATGTCTAACTCTCTATCGCTGGAAGTGAAGCTGAAGCGGTCTAGGTCTGCTCTCGGACTGGCGCGGCCTGTGACTCTGCAGGTATCACTGTAGCAGCTAGCTCTGATGATGCAATGGATGATGGGAGCGTCTCTGTAGTCCTAGTAACTGGAGCAACTATGGTAGGAGCAGGGACTCATAGCTCTGGCAGTGTAGGCTGCCCTGTAAGCTCACTAAAAGTTGCACCGAGGCTCCTAGAAACTGGGGTGTCAGTCACAAGCATGGAGGAACTCTGAGCCGGTGTGAAGCCCATAACAATAGGTGTGAAGTGAGGACCCTGGGCTATCACTAGCGAAGCAAACCACTGGGACACCTGCTCTGTAGATGAAGCAAACTATGTAGCTGGCTGTCCTTGACTCTGAAGCCCACTGGGCTGCATAGCTGGAGTCATATAAGTGGTGGCAGGCTGACCGAGCTAAGGTGTAGACGGTGGCAGAGCAACCCCAATAGCAGTGACAACATGCTGCATAAATCCAAGTAACTGCTGCTGCATTAGGAGTTGCTGCTGCTGCATGGCCTGTTGCTGTCTCTGGAACTCATCCTGTCCTGGCCTGAACCTGTGCAAGTGCAGCTGCGGTCTCTTGGGCCTGGTGTGCCAGATCCTGCCTCATCCACTCAAGAATAGTAAGAAGAGCGGGGTCTGTCTGTGGTGGCTAGGGTAGAGCTGAGCTAGAGCCACCGGCCTCACTGTCATGTCGTCGAGGAGGCATATGAGGGATAGCCTGATAATCATCATCTGAACTGTCACTAGGGTCGCTCTCGACCACACCCTCCTGCTGAGCATCTAGCTGCTCCTCTATCACTGCAACACCCCTAATGATCTCATCCTGCTGGGCTGTAGTCTCTGGCACCTTTAGGCGATGGCATGGCTGGCTAGGTGTCCTCGCTGTACTATGACAGAGCATCTGAGTCATGTTATATGGTGGAAACTCTATAGTAGCACCTGTGTACTCAGCCATCGTCTCTGGGGACTTCGCTGTAACTACCTTGCGAATCAAGAATGTGATCCAGTGAGCATAAGGCAGTTGTTTGTGACCATTGAACCCCTCTACAAGAGTGTCCTCCATCTCTGAAAGAATGACATCCCAAATATCAAATATTGTCTGTTGTATTAGAGAGTTCACTAGCCACAGCTAGATGCGAGTCAATCCCTCATGATAACACATCCTCAGGAGCAAAGTCCTTCTCATGATAGCATCAAGCAGCCTAGCTGTAGGAGTAAGGTCTCTAGGTGTCCTGCTCGACCCCTCATCAAAAGGCTCTGTGAAGCAAGGTCGGACCAGATCTGTAGGAGGCACAAGAT